AGAGAGACAGAGAGATAGACCAGGGGGATGGCTCAGTGGAATAAGCGCTTCCCTGGCAAGCAGAAGGGCCTGAGTTCAATCCCCGTTCTGCCCCCACCCCCCAAAAAAAAGAAGAAGAAAAGAAAGATCCAACTTGCTTGCTTTTGCTCCCTTGCAGTCTCCAGATCTTCGATGCGATATTCATTGAGGCCTTTTATCCATTTAGAAGATGGAGTTGCTGGTTTTCTTCTCGTTGTTTTAAGAAAACTGTTTTGTTTTGTTGTTGTGTTTTGGGGCAGGGTCTCACTATGACATAGGGGAACAAAACTCCCAGCCTGAAAGGTACCTGGGATGCGTCCGTGAATCTAAAACCATTGTTCCTAAAATTCATTCCTCAGTCTTAGAGAATACAAACTCATGCCAGGTATCTTTCAGGTTGTCGGTTTCAGCCCCCTATATCATTTGAAGTCGTCCACCAAGATCATTGGACCGAGGTTAGAGTTTGCTTTTTGTTTTGTAGACTCTGGATTGGGGCTCACTTAATTAACAAATTTTTATGTTTCAAATGTTGATATGTCTTTGCTGATTGCTCACGATTGTGCTTTGCCTCATACAGTTTTGTCTCATATAGTTTTGTTAAAATTGCTTATAATTGCTCATGCTTTGTCTCATATAGTTTTGTTAAATGTTGGTCAAAATGTTGTTAGTAAATCTAAGTTAAAACATGCAAATTTTATAAGGTTATTATATTTCTTTAGTGGGTCATTTTATGACTGTTTTGTACTTGTATATGTTGCATTTTAACTACTTGCTAAATGTACTGGTATTCCTTGCTTTACTTTAGACAGTAGTACTAGACAGTAACCGTTAGAAAGCCTACTAGTGGACTTTAATATAAAATTCTGTAAAGTGGGACTTTTTTAAAATTTTATTTATTTATTTATTTTCCAGAACTGGGAATTGAACTCAGGGCCTTGCACTTGCCAAGGAAGTGCTTACTCCACTGAGCCATCTCCCCGGCCCCTATTTTTTTTTTTTTTTTAAAGTGGGACTTTTAAATCTAACTCAGACTTAGAAAATATATGCCTATATATAAAATGCAGAACTCCTTTTGTCAAGTAAATGACAGTAGGTCAGCAACTGTTCTTAAAGACTTGGCGGACAGGTTTCACTGGGACAGACTGGCTTTGATCCCCCTCTACATGCTAGAGGAAATGTCAGGTCCGCTGTGTTTCAGTTTCCTTTATTTTTATTTTTATTTTTTCTTGTATTGTAGGGAAGGGTCTACAGGGTGTTCAAGGTCTCATTACCTGATTGGACTCCTAGTGATCTGCCTGTTTACAGCCTCCCAAGAGCTGGGTTACAGATGTGCACCACCACGCCCAGTCCCAATTGCAGTCTAAGTGTACCCCTGGGGTATGGCCAGCACAGCAGGCCTGGGGATTGAACCCCCGGTCCCTGTGCCTACTTGCAGGTGCTTTAATCTGCTGAGCTATTTGGCAGGCCCTCTGTGCTTTCATTTTTAGAGGCATGGAAAATTCTAGACTGTTCCAACTTAGTGAAGCCCTTAGAAAATGAGCATTTCAGGGCTGGTGAGATGGCTCAGTGGTCTAAAGCACCTACTTAGAACAAGCTAAGCTAAGCAAAGCACAGGGACCGCGGTTCAATCCCCCAGCACCACACGCCAGCCCCGTCCCCTGGTGGGCTGAGCTGGCCACACACACACACACACACACACACACACACACACACACAAATAAATAAACAAACAAACAAAAAGAAAATGAGCATTTGTTAACCCCAAGGACAAAGAAGTCATTTTAGAGAAAGGAATCATACCCCAACTCCAGATCAGAGGAGACAAAAGGAGCTATGCACAACCAGAAGAACACATAAATGCCATGTCCCAGCTTAGTGTTCTGGGCAGGTCTCCTTCTGGAGGCTAAATCTGAGAATTTTTTTTTTTTTTTTTTTTCCCTGAGAGTGTTTAGCACAGTATAAACACAGTGGAGAGAAAGCCAACTTCTGGGTGACACTAGGAGGAGCTATCTCCAAAAGCAGCACACTTATGGGACCAAAACATATTTAGAGTGAAGCAGGATCTCTTTTTCTCTTCTCTTGGGTCTAGCTGTCATTTAGTGCATAAGAGCTAAGATGTGGACTTTAAAGCCTTTACTATACAGTACTAGGTAATTCTGTTCAGGGTCTTAACTATCCCTTTAAAAAAAATGTATTTAGTACAGGGTCTACAGGGTCTCACTATACAGATGGGACTCACAGTGATCCTCCTGCTTTCAGCCTCCCAAGCTCTGGGATTACAGGTGTGCGCCACCATGCCCAGTCTCAGTCACCATCTCAGGGCGTCCTGGGGTCAGGGCCAGCACGGCAGGCCAGGGAAACTATCCCTTATAGAACTTTGACAAACTGGTTGCTCTGCCAGCTAGTTACATGCACATAGAGCAGCTGCCACTCTTTGAAGCAGAGGACAGATTTCCTCAGCATCTTCTTGGTGAATTCCCACTGAAGCCAATGGCGGATGGAATGTTGACCAGAGAGACAGCTGGATTCCTCTCTGGAGACTGGTCTCTGGTTGTGTTGGGCCAATAGAAACTGTGAACACCTGAGGGGTCATGGCCAGGGCTACTCTCTGGCGGATACCCAAAGGTTCCTCAGTGGAAACAGGCTCCTGACCACCGAATGATCTGTACTTACCTATTGTACTTTTATCTCCCTCTGCTAGTAAGCTAGGAATTTTCCCTAAGCATTTCAGTAGAACCACTTAATTAGCCACTACTTCAGAACCTGAAAAGTGCCAAATCCCTCCAGTCAATGGTTTTATCTATCTCTAGAAGAGACCTTAATAACCTGAAAAGTGCTCGCTTCCAATTCACCTTTTTAAGCAAGTTA